GATTTGAGTCTGATGGCAAGGAGCTTGCTAAGGATTTTACTCATGAAGGTAGAGAGGGAGATGGGGCGAAAGTCGTTGAAAGTTTGAGGGTTTGGGATTTTGGGTATAAGGGTTAAGGTGGTGGCCCCATAAGCTGTGGGAGGGGGAATTCCCAGGAAGAACTCTTGCGCGGCAAGTAGGAGGTCCTTCCCCAAGATGTGCCAGGTCCTGCGAAAGAACTCTCCATTAAATCCATCCGGGCCACAAGTGCTATGCGGGTCAAGTTCCCAAACTGCCTGTTTAACCTCTTCCATGGAAGGAAGGCGTGATATGAAGGCATTATCTTCCTCGCTGATTACTTGGGGGATAAATTTCAGAATCTCCTGAGGATCAGTAATGCTGGAGTGGGAGAAGGTTTGGGTGAAGAAGTCGACAGCTTCAGCCTCAATGCTTGCAGCGTCCTTAAGCGTTTGACCTGATCTGGATTTGATTTGTGATATAGTGAGTTTAGCTCTCCTGCCCTTAACGAAGGAATGGAAGAACTTGGAATTGATGTCTCCCTTTTCCATCCACCGTATTTGGGCCTTTTGCTTCCAATATTCCGTCTCTTTTTTAGTTGCCATTAGCAGGTTAGCCATAGCTTGCGACCAAGCTTCCCTATTGGATTCAATAGGGTTGGAATCATATGAGAGTTCTGCAGTGATGGCTTCTTCCTCTGCTTTTTTAAGATTTTGAAAAATATCACCAAAGGATTCCTTGTTCCACTTACGGATTGCTGATTTTAGCTCCTTTAATTTGTTGCTAAAACCTCTCATACCTCCACAAGTTCCAGTAGAAGTCCAGATGTGATTAATAGTTGTGAGAAATTAGGGGTTTGAGAACCAGACATTAAGGACTTTGAACCCTTTAGGAGATCTTGGGGTTTCCAGAATGCAATCCAGGAGCAAGGGGTTATGATCTGAGCCTGCCTTACTAAGGTGGAGGCATTTAATATCTGCAAAAAAATTAAGACAATCAATGTTAGCCAGGACCCTGTCCAACCTTCTCCAAAGCCGCCCTTGCCCTCTATTCCCACTCCAAGTGAACCAGCCCTTAACAGGTTGTATGCTTGTGAGGGAGTTACTCGAAAGGCATTCTTGAAATTCTTCTATGCTTTTAAGGGGTGGAGAGGAGTTGCCTTTGTGTTCATCTAGGGAGAGGATTGCATTGAAATCCCCCCCTACAATCCAAGCCTCATCTGAAGGACATGTTTCTGAAAGGGAATGCCAGAGCTCTTGACGCTCAATGATAGAGTGTTTTCCATAAACAGCAGTAATGTTGAAGATTTTATTGAGTTCCTTATGGAGGAATCTGCACGAGATGGATTGGGAGTTACTGGAGAATCCAAGGAGGTGAAGGATATCATCACACTAGAAAGTCCAGATCTTATTATTAGGGTTAGCCAAGCAGTGGGAGAAACCCAGTGAGAGCTTAAAGAAGGGAAGTTTGTTACAATTTACAAAAGGCTCAAGGACAGAAAGAAATGGGATAGAGTGGGCTTTGAGAAGGGATTTAAGCCTGTGGAGAGAGGAGGCAATCCCACGAACGTTCCAGAATAAGAGCTTCATTGATTAACAGGAGGAGGAACGCCAACGCCAAATTTCTGGCTTCTAGTGAGGATATTACTTGGGGGGTAGTTCCTCTTCTTTCTAGGCCCCCTTGGGGCGCCAACCCCTTTCGAAGCATATTTCTCAATGTTGAGATGGAGGGGTTGCAGTTTTTCTTTATTGAGAGGCTCATACTCCCCTTCTGAGTGATAGTGTACCTCCCTCAAATCCTCTTGAGAGAAGTCCGAACGGTAAAGATGCTGGAGTCCAAGGGAGTTAAGGATGGTAAAAGTTGGATCTTGGGAAATAAGGTTCGTCATGGAGTCATCTTTGCTGCCTCCTGTATTGCGTGGAGAGACTGGCGGGGTGGGACCAAGATCAATAAGGTTGGTGGGAGTGGCAAAGGGGGAGGGTTGTATAGGGGGGGGGAATGGAGAGCTCCTGGTTTTTGAAAGCTTGGCACCCACTATCTGAAATGGTAGTGGGTTGTGGGTCAACTGACGAGGTGGAAGGCTGGTTGAGAGGTGGTAAGACANGGGAGGGTGGGGTGAACAAAGGATGGATTTTAGTGCATGGCATGAAGCTGGAGGGGCAGGGACAGCTTTCCAGAGGTGAGGTGGTTTACTCCTTGGCATATGTTGCTTGGCTTTTTTTGTTTGGACCACTGTCCAACCAGCTTCACTCTCTCCTATCATTGCCACCTTTTCCTTGCCGGCGTTGTGGACTTCCCCGCCGGCAACAGCCCTGAAAGGACAATTCTGCTTGGCGTGACCAAGTTTGAGGCATGAATGACAAAAGGAAGGGAGTTTTTCATAAGAAATGGGGAAGATGTGTTCCTTTTCGCCCAGTCTGACATGGAGGAAAGGAGGTGGAGGATTGGAGACATCAATTTCGATGCAAATTCTTGCCCTCTCAACGTGACATCAATTTTATATATATATATATATATATATATATATATATATATATATATATATATATATATATATATAAAGAATAATTAATTCTTACAGCAGTTATAGTGTATTTTATATTATTATAATTTTGGACACTTTAATTTCTTACCATCTTTAAATACTTAACAATTACTATTACTATGTTTCAATTATTTAAATTACTATATTTAAAATTTACTATAATTAAAATGACACGGTAATTAATACAGAGTATACAATTATGTTGTCACACGGGTATATAATTAATAACTTTGTTAATTATTACCTTTTTTTTGTTTAAAATTACTGTAATTAAAATATAGTAAAATATAGCCATTATAATTATAATATAGCCATTATAAAATTACTACTATAAAATTACTATAATTAATTTGACACGGTAATTAATATACAATTATGTAGTCACACATAATCTTAGATTTCATTAATAGCGTAATATAAAATTTAAATTAAAATTACTATAATTGATTTGACATGGTAATTAACATTTATTTACTATAATTAATTTGACACGGTAATCACATGTAAAATACAATTTTAATTAAAATTATGATAATTAACATTACTATAATTAATTTGACATAGTAATTAATTAGATTTAATTAATAGTGTGCTTAATATCATTATATTAATTGCCATTTTAATTTCACAATTACCATATGTAATAACTATACTCTTTGGGCACGAAAACGTAATATAGACTTCACCTCTTTTTAAATAAAGTATGGATATGGATTTTTGCCTATTTTATAAATATTTTTTATAACTTACCTTTTTATAACTTCTTGCACGGGTTAAAAATGGACACTATAATTTCGGGACACTTACCATTTATATAGGTAATAATTGCACGAAGTAATAATTATTACATTTTTTGGTTATTACCTTTCTTGCTATTAAACATTTTATAAAACGTAAACTTTTATTACTATAATTTCGGACACTTACCATTTTATTTTCACATTACCATATGTAATGACCATACTCTTTGAGCAGAAAAATGCAATATTGACTCTATGTTTTTTAAAATAAAGTATAGCTGAGGCCTGGGGATGTAGAAATTGGATGAGAGAGACCATGAGTAAATTTGAAAGTATTGGATTTAGAATAATGAAATATCTCCAAATAGAAAAAAAAAGTATCAAAATAATAATAATAAATCATAAAATGTTAATATTGTTATTATTATAATAATAAATCATAATTAATAATAATCATCATGATGAACACAACACTTAATAATAATAATAATAATTATAATTATAACAATAATTAATAGAATTATTAAAAAAATAATGATAGTAATAAGAATTAATAATTACAATTATAATGATTATTAATAAAAAGATTTTTTGTAATAATATTAATAATAAATATTTAAAATAATAAATAATAAATTATTATTATTTCTATTATTATTATTATTATTAAATACATTATAATGAATTATGATAATCATCATCAATAATCATAACCCTTAATATTAATAACAATAATAATAATTACTACTTCCGTCCCAGAGTATTTGTCCACTTTTATTTTTACACACCATCCAATACACATTTCTTTAATCAATTTTATCTTGTAATTTGTATATATTAAAAAATTATAGAAATTATATATTAATAATCTATATGTTAAGACAAATCAAACAAGATCACACATGATTATATTTAGGCTTACACATTGAGAGAATTTGATAAGTCAAAGTTCTTAGATGAACAGTTCCAAAAGTCAAAACTGGACGAATACTCCGGGACGGATGGAGTATTTACAATAATATTAATAAATATTATTATTAAATTTATAATGATAATTATAATAATTAATAAAAATATTATTGTACTATATTAATAATAAATACGGAGTAATACTTACTCTGTATTATTTATACAATAATTATAATAACAATTTCAATTAAATCTGTCTAGATCAGAAATTAAATAGATTAGATGGATTGAGATAGTATTAGAAAATGCCGTTAAAGTAATCAAGTATCAAAATTGTCCAAAGTTGAACCACATTCGAACAAAAATCAGGTTGGAACGATTCACAGTTACCGACTCGCTCTCTGCATTTCTTCTTCCTTGGAATGAACTCTTCATCGTCCCCTCTTCTCTTCTCCCGTCGCCATCTCCCCAACCATACCGATCACAACACGTCACCTTCCATCGACCACCCCAACTTTCATTTTTACCCATCGATGCGATCTTCAACAAAACCACCCATTTCTGGTATCTCCTCCGTCCGGTAACAATGGCGGAGATTCAGACGGTATCGCAATCGCGGCGCTCCCACCGCTGGATCTCCACACACAAGACTCTCCTGTCCGCGATTTGGATCGGCGCCTTCTTCTTCTCCTCCGTCTTTCTCTGGCAGAAGGACGCAGCCGGCGGACTTTTCTCTCACAGGAGGTTTTTCCCGTCCGGAGAACCGCCCAGGCTCCGCCCGGTGACATTTAATTTGACGGATTTCGGAGGGGTCGGGGATGGGGTCACCGTCAATACGGCGGCGTTTGAGAGCGCCGTCTTGGCAATCTCGAAGCTCCGAAACAAGGGCGGCGGGCAGCTGAATGTGCCTCCTGGGTTTTGGCTTACGGCTCCTTTCAACCTCACCAGCCATATGACTCTCTTCCTTGCCGAGGGTTCTGTTATTCTTGGCCTTGATGTGAGTATCTACTGAACTTTATGTAATTCAGATTACTTTTCAACATCTAAGAACATTTAATAATGGAATTTTATACTCTTTTTGTTTTTGGGTTATGTAATCACACAAATAGGATGAGAAGTACTGGCCACTGATGCCTCCATTGCCTTCATATGGACATGGTAGGGAACACCCCGGACCACGCTATGGCAGTCTAATCCATGGCCAGAATCTCAAAGATGTTGTAATAACAGGTCATAATGGCACCATAAGTGGGCAGGGCCAAGGATGGTGGAACAAGTATCTGCAGAGACGCCTCAACCACACCAGAGGACCTCTTGTCCAGATTATGTGGTCTAGTGACATTCTCATCCACAATGTCACGCTGCGCGATTCTCCCTTTTGGACCCTTCATCCGTTCGACTGCAAAAACGTTACCATCAGCGATGTGACTATTCTCGCTCCAATTTTTAAGGCACCCAACACCGATGGCATTGATCCTGGTGAGTGTATATATATGTGTGTGTGTGTGTTTCGCTTGCCAGGTATGAGCTCATGGTCTGATGAGTGTTTTGGCTAAACAGATTCATGTGAAGATGTGTTGATTGAAAACTGTTACATAAGTGTGGGCGATGACGCCATTGCAATAAAGAGTGGTTGGGATCAGTATGGTATAGCTTATGGACGCCCATCCAAAAATATACTCATAAGAAACGTAGTGGTTCAATCCATGGTCAGGTGAGGAGGCCGGCCTCCAGCCTTTTTTTGTTGACAAGCTTGAGTTTTTGGTTGAGTTGGTTTGTTGACAAGACCTAACTCTTAAGTGTCGTAAACAATGGCAGTGCAGGCATATCAATAGGAAGTGAGATGTCGGGTGGGGTGTCTAACGTAACCGTAGAGAACCTCCGTGTTTGGAACTCGAGGCGTGCGCTTAGGATAAAGACAGCACCGGGAAGAGGAGGACACGTTCAACACATATCGTTTCACAATGTGACGCTTGAAAATGTTCGGGTGGGGATTATCATCAAGACCGACTACAACGAACATCCAAACGGAGAGTTCAATCCCAAAGCGGTGCCCGTTATTAAGGACATAAGTTACACGTCCATACACGGGGATGGGGTACGAGTCCCCGTCCGCATACACGGAAGCGAAGACATTCCCGTGAGGAACGTAACTTTCCGTGACGTGTCGATCGGGACAACGTATAAGAAGAAACACGTATTTCAGTGCTCTTTTGTTGAAGGACGCGTTATAGGCACGATCTTTCCTGCGCCATGTCAGAATCTTGATTTCCACGACGAGCTAGGGCGACTGGTCAAACGTTCATATGCTCACAATACTTCAGACATAGATTATGACCTTTGAACTCGTAAAAAGAAAGGGCGAACTCCATCCAAGGGTTACAGACAGTTAGTTAAGAAGAGGTAAATAAAGCTTTAATCTCAAGTGCCCACACCTTTGGATTTGTAGTATGGATAGGTGATGGCACATATTCTATCTATCATCAATATTTCCACATTTATTTCTTGATTTTCATAGCTGATCTTGCTTCTTTCTTGGCTTGTATATCTATTGGTCACGGGGTTAGGCAAAGGGAATCGAATATTGAGTATTATATTTTGCATTTGAAAACTTGGTTAACCATTCATATGTTATTCGTATCTTTATTTAGTACTGTATTTGTATTTGATTAGTGGGCGAACTATTTGATTCCAATTCGAACATAATAGGAATACAAAAACAACACACGGTGTATTATAGCCGCGTAGGACTGTTTTGTTTTTGTTGATATTGACTAACAGAGCGTTTCTTTCACTTTATTTTTTCTTTCTTTATTAATCCGTATTATAATTAGATCAGACTAGATCATATCAGAAGCAGTTTTAATTAGATCAGATCTTTAAATAATCAAATTAGATCAAGTGAACGGAACGCAACATAAACAGGCAAGGAAATGAAAAAAGGCGCGTGTTTGATATCTTTGAAATCTTTATATTCTAGAATGTTTGTCCAATTTTAATTTTTTGTAGTTAAAATTGAAAAAATTAAACTACTAATAATTAAACAAAATTGATATTAGAATTTGATACAAAAATAATTTTATACGATTTACTTTGTAAAAAAATTTCAAAATAGTGTTTAGAAGTAAAACATAGAGAATAAACCAAAACAGGAATTTCATGTTTGTATTACAAAAATAGGAGTTAAAATATATATACAATGTCAATCATGTTAATATATAATATAAACAAGTATTGTAAAATGTTCAAATACATGTCATATTATCACACATTCACACTGTAAACTCCTATTTTAGAAATAAAAAGGAGGAGTTCCTATTTTCATGTTTTCTATGTTATACTTCAATTTAAGATGATTTGTTAAAGTAAAAAATTAAACCATGCAAATATTTTAGGACGATGGAAGTATTTCATACGGAGTATATTAGTATAAGAATGCCCTAAAAAAATTTGAGGACCATGCTAGATGTACTTGGTGTACACCATTTTGTACGCCACAATTTTACACCAATATTTTGATGGTTCACACTAGCATAAAACGTAGATGCAAAATGTTCATACTGACATTTTATGCAAGTGTTAATCATCAAAGTGCTAGTGAAAATTTGGGTCATATAAAATGGTGTACAAAAATGATGTATGAACAGCATTGTTGAAATTTTAAATTCTTATTCAAGTGATATTAAAATTAGAGAAATTTAGTGCAACAGGATAACAATATATTGCTTTTACTTAAATAGGACAAGTTTTTACCAATATTTTGAAAATCGGACTGGATGTCGACCTGGATGAGGGAGTGTGTCAAGGGCTAACCGGTCAACCTGAGGTCAGCGACCTGGTCAACTATAATTAAAATAAAAATATTTTATATTATATATTAGTATTAGATACTTCCTCCGTCCCTAAATAGATTACAATTTTTTTTTCTCTCCTCTCGATAACTTTTGTTTGTTTACGCGATTTCATTAAGTATATAATAAAATAAAATATTCTTGTCACCTCTTATTTTGTAGAACTTTTGACGTAGTTTTTTAATATGTAATTTTTATATCTTATTGATATACCAATTTGTAAATAAAATGATTTTAAAAAATAGAAAATTTTACTCCGTAACCCACAATTTGTAATCAAATTGGGGACGGAGGGAGTATTTGTAGTTCAGCACGGTTCCATGGCCACTAGAATCCAGTGGCCACGGAAGCCACTGCCCCCATACGGAACTCCGTTCATAAAATTAATGATTCCTACTCCCCCTAACCCCCCGGTAAACCCCCCGCCAAGTCCCGACCCAAACTCATCACCCCACCTACGTCAATTGCACCTCGTAAGCATAATTGACTTTAAAGTCAAAAGTTTTGACTTTATGCTTACGAGGTGCAATTGACGTAGGTGAGGTGATGAGTTTGGGTCGGGACTTGGCGGGGGGGTTTACCGGGGGGGTTAGGGGGGGTAGGAATCATCAATTTTATGAACAGAGTTCCGTAAGGGGGCAGTGGCTTCCGTGGCCACTAGATTCCAGTGGCCATTATGGAACCGGGCCGTTTGTAGTTAATATGTAGTACCAAGTACAGTTTAATTCATGTTTTATTACTTCTGCGTCTACTTTTTAATACTGCCTCCGTCCATAATTAAACTTCTCTGTTTGACCGAGCATGCATATTAATGTGTGATAAAAATTGTATTGACTTTCTTATTATACCCTTAATGGGCTCCACCACCATGAGCCATCCTCTGTCCTTGCCAACATCATCCACCACTGTGAGCCATCCTCTGTCCCTGTCAACATCTCCGACGACTCTCTATCACTAGCGACAATGATTCTCTGGAATCGCCACCGCTAATTCTCTGGCACCATCGTGAATTAAATCTCTTTCTTTTGTTTCCTTCATCCCTTCCACAATCCCACATGGCAAAAGAGTAGATCTAAAATTTTAAAGGCAACAGAAGAAAAGATGTGTGCAAATCGAACACAGGAGTATCAGAGGATTTGTAGATCTGAGCAATCAATGGTGGCAATGTCTGAAGAGGAGCAAATCTGACCATCGTGTCACCTCCAACCACCGCCTCGTTGCTCTGCCATGTCAAGGATAATATCTAATCTTTCTTATATTGTTTATTATTGTATTTATCTACTGCCTCTTGTATACGTATAACTTATCACGTCCTAGTCAAATGCCTGATCATTAGGATCTACTCTACCTGCTAAAGTGTATTCGTATATATGTATGATGTGGGTTATCAAATAAAGTATCAAAGCTTCATTTGTTCATATGGTATCAGAGCCATAAAAAAGGTCTCCTTTTTCGATCCAATCACAGCCAGTTCACACAGAGGCTTCACACACAGCCTCACCTTAGCACGATTTTCTTTCGCTGCTCACTGCAATGGCCTCTCCCATCATCACAAAAGACACCCTTGTCATTCAGCTTCATGCTAAAACTCACTTTCCCATCAAATTGAATACCACCAATTTTGCTATATGGCAATGGCAAAATCGATCAATGTTAATCGGACTTGATCTTCTTGGCTACATTGATGGATCTCTCGCTATGCCACCCCGCCAACAGTCTGATGGCGCTTTCAATCCATGTCACTCCATTTGGTATCGACAAGATCAATCCATTATTGCCGCGCTCCTTGGGAGTTGCTCTGACACGATCCAGCCCATCATCTCTAACGTTGACACCGCACGTCGGGCTTGGCTTAGCCTGCATTCTAGCTTTGCCAGTGCTAGTCGTGGCCGGGTTATTGGTCTTAAGTGCAAACTTGGTAAAAATCCACGAGGCAATCGCCCTATGGCTAAATATCTGCGTGATATGCAGCAAATTGCTAATGACTTAGCCCTAGTACAATGTCCGGTTTCTGAACCAGATCTGGTTGCACATGTTCTCAATCAGGTCGGCGATGCATTTGATCCCATTACATCGGCGGCCAGGATTCGTGAGACTCCTATCACGTTCACTGAACTCAGTGACGTCTTGCCAGAATTTGAAGGCAAACTTCAGACCAGTGATGCTGCTACCCAATATCTCGTGGCCACTGCCAACGTTACCCAACGTGGCCCACCAGCCAGGCCTGGCAGATTTTCCCATCGCAATGGCCAGCATTCTTTAAGCCGTCGTTCTTTCAACACTGGTGGTCGAAACCACACGCGTGATACTTCGTGTCAATTTTGTTCCATCCCAGGCCATGACATCAAGGTGTGTCGAAAACTTACTCGGCTTCTTCGAGATAATGGTATGTCTCTCCCTGGATCCTCAACATCCAATCCGATGGTTCATCGTACTTCTAGTACCTCTCCCTCTGGTTCTACCCAGTGGATGTTTGATAGTGGGGCTAGTCATCATACATCTCCTACCCCTCAGGCATTGCAGTCCTTCTCTGACTTTGGGGTCCGGATGAGATCCGTTTGGGCAATGGTAAGGGTCTACACATTTCACATATTGGTCATACCTCTCTTCCTACTTCCTCCCGATCCTTATCTTTGCGTAATGTTTTATGTGTTCCTCAGTTACCTACTAATCTTGTTTCCGTGTCTCAATTATGTCAGACTAATTATGTTTTTGTTGAATTTTTCCCCTCCTCCTTTTCTGTCAAGGATTTGACCACGGGGGCGCCTCTACTTCAGGGTAAAGCTCATCATGGCGTTTACTATGCTCTTCCAGTGTCTCCACCACAAGTCAATCAACTTTCTATCTCGGCTTTGCATCATAGCTATGGTCATCCCTCCAATAAAATTTTGTCTCGTATTTTAAATCATTGTAATCAACAAGTGCCCACTGGTGCACTTGATGCATTTCATTGTACTTCCTGCGCAATTAATAAAAGTCACAAACTTCCTTTTCACAATAATTCTCTTACCAGTCAAGTTCCGCTTCAATTAATATACTCTGATGTTTGGTCTTGCAATGAGGTCTCCTCTGATGGGTATCTATATTATATTATCTTTGTTGATCACTTTACTAAATATGTCTGGTTGTTTGCGATGACACGAAAAAGTGACACTCTCTCCATTTTTACCCATTACAAAACCATGGTGGAAAACTTCTTCAATAGAAAAATCATTTCTATTTTCTCTGATAATGGTGGAGAGTACATTAAATTGCGTCCTTTTTTGGCTCAGCATGGTATTTCACATTTCACTTCTCCACCACATACTCCTGAACATAATGGCTCTGCAGAGCGTCGTCACCGACATGTTGTTGAAACTGGTCTTGCTCTCCTTCATCGTGCGTCTTTGCCCATCACGTATTGGCCGTATGCATTTCAAACGGCTGTCTATCTCATAAACCGCATGCCTACTCCTCTCCTTAACTACAAATGCCCATACACTGCCTTGTTTCATGCTACGCCCAATTATCTCAAACTGCAACCATTCAGATGTTTATGTTATCCATGGCGACGCCCTTACAACTCAACCAAACTTCAACCCAAGTCGGTTCCCTGTATCTTTCTTGGGTACTCCACCTCTCAATCTGCCTACAAGTGTTTGGACCTCACCACTCATCAGCTTTATCATTCTCGCCATGTTCAATTTGCTCCCAATATCTTTCCCTGTGCCACCTCTCCGTTGGTCTCTCCATCCTCTACACCCTCTCCTCCTATCATCTTTCGTCGTGACCCACCATCTATTTCCCCACAGGCTGACCAACAGGTTTCCACTTCCGCTCTCAATCCTCAGTCGCCACCTATCCCTACCCCTGAGCCTCAACCTCACATTCCCAACCCCTCACCTCCAACTGTTGCTGACCCTCTCCCACTTCCTGCCTCTTCCCGGGTTGAGTCTGGGCAGTCCACTGTCCCCTCCCCTTCTCTGCGTCCTACTCGTCATCGTCGTCCTTATTCTCGTATCTTTAATAATGAGTTCGTCACAGATACTGCCCAGATTCATGTTACCACCCACCATCCACTTCCCCCCACTCTTGAACCTAAAACCATTGCTCAGGCTCTCAAAGATCCGCGTTGGCGACAGGCTATGGATGAGGAGTATCAGGCATTAATCCAGAAGGGTACTTGGGAACTTATTCCTCGTGAGACTCATCGCCCTATTGGGTGTAAGTGGGTTTTTCGAGTGAAACGCCGAGCGGATGGCTCTATTGACAGGTTTAAGGCTCGTTTGGTGGCAAAGGGGTTTCTTCAGGAAGCGGGCTGTGACTACTTTGACACGTTCAATCCAGTTATGAAGCCTGTGACTATACGTGTGGTTCTTAGTCTTGCGTTGACTAACCGCTGGCCTTTACGTCATCTTGACATCAATAATGCTTTTCTAAATGGCAGGTTATCCGAGGAGGTTTACATGGATCAACCCCCTGGCTACACTCATCCTGATTTTCCTGCCCATATTTGTCGCTTATCTAAGGCTCTTTATGGGCTCAAGCAAGCCCCTTGTGCTTGGTATGACTCTTTATCACAATTCTTGCACAAATCAAGATTTCACAAGTCTCGTGCCGATCCATCATTATTTGTTTATGCTCAAGCTGGTATGTTAGCCTATTTCCTTGTGTACGTTGATGACATTATTCTCACGGGTAATTCCGATGCATTTCTTACTGCCTTTGTGCAACGGCTAGCTCATCAATTTTCACTGAAGGATATTGGCCCCCTCAATCATTTTTTGGGTGTAGAGGTAATTCCCCCTTCTACATGTTTGTTTCTGTCACAAGCTCAGTATATCACTTCCGTTCTTGAAAAATCCGATCTGGCATATGCTAAAGGCTCTCCTACTCCTATGGCGTCCAAACCTCCATTGTTTTCTACTTCGCCATCGCAAGCCACAGTTGATCCTGCCATGTATCGTCGTGTAATTGGCCGTCTCCAGTATTTGTCTCTCACACGCCCTGATGTTTCCTTTGCTGTTAACCGATTATCTCAACATATGCAAGCTCCTACTGCGGCTCATTGGATTGCTCTCAAACGTGTTTTGCGCTATCTCAAGACTACACTCTTTCATGGTTTGCATCTCTCGCGCACTACCCCTATTCAGCTCACTGCCTTCTCTGATGCCGATTGGGGTGGTGTTGCTGATGGAGGCAAGTCCACTACTGCTTATGCTCTTTATATTGGTTTGAATATTATCTCTTGGAAATCTGCCCGACAGAAAACTGTGTCTCGCTCCTCCACTGAAGCAGAATACAGAGCCCTGGCGCATGCTGTTGCCGAACTGTTATGGGTTCAAAATCTCCTACTCGAGCTTCATGTACGACCATCCTCTATGCCTCGTCTCTATTGTGATAATCAAAGTGCCTTATATGTGAGTAAAAATCCAGTGTTTCACTCTCGCATGAAGCACGTAGCTCTGGACTACTTTTTTGTTCGTAATCTGGTAGCTGCTGCTAAGCTTAGTGTTCATCATGTCCCGTCCGTGGAGCAACCGGCTGATATTCTCACTAAGCCTTTGTCTCGTCTTCCTTTTCAGAAACTTCGGTCCAAGATTGGCGTCTCTGACGGATCCTCCATCTTGCGGGGGCGTGTCAAGGATAATATCTAATCTTTCTTATATTGTTTATTATTGTATTTATCTACTGCCTCTTGTATAGGTATAACTTATCACGTCCTAGTCAAATGCCTGATTATTAGGATCTACTCTACCTGCTAAAGTGTATTCGTATATATGTATGTTGTGGGTTATCAAATAAAGTATCAAAGCTTCATTTGTTCATATGCCATTACCTCCGACCACCACCTCACTCCCAATCAATGGGTGGCAAGACAAAAACAAAAGGGAAAGGAGGAAGAAAATTAAGAAGAAGAAGAATAAAAAAAGAAAGAAGATGATGACGATGAGAGTGGGCTGGACAAAAACAGAAGGGGGACAAAAGAAAAGAAAGAGGAAGAAAAAAAGAAAGAAGAAGAGGAGGCTGAAGGGGTGCAGTGGTGGCGCTAGACTGGCAGGAAGGAAGAAGAAAAGTGGGTAAGGGAGGGTAATAAAGTCTTTTTGATATAAAAAAGTTACCAAAAACAGGAACGAGAAGATAATTTATGGACGGATGAAAATGAAAAGTGGAAAGTGATGGCAATAAACCACCGAAGATCTCGACCGTGGGGTCGACGAGTTACGTAAGCTGGATATGTAAAGTTTAGAGAGAGAGAGAGTGCAAAGTAGGAGTATAATTAGCTTGGATTTGGATCCTTTACCATGAGAATGCCTTGACCCTTTTATAGTTTCAATAGTACAACTAATTAAAACAACCCATGTGTCTGATACTTGTCGCCTAGTAGACGTACATCACCTGGTCTTCATAGTATGGTCCCTTACACCTTGTCGCTATCACTCGGTCGCTATCCTAGCTCCCATCACTGTTATCTGGTCCATGCCGAGGAGGAAGGAGCCCGAGGTCTGAGCCGAGCTTGTCCCTACTAAGCCAAGCTCATCCCTATCGAGTCGAGGCCACAGACCGATCGTGCCCATCTCTGGGGTCCCTCTCCTAGCTTACCTGGATGTGGGCCCAGTCCTGGGCCCAATACTAGGCTGACATGGGGTTATCCTCCATCACAAGCCCCCCACACTGCTCTGGCACTTGGTAGTGAAACGTGTGAGAGTAGAGGTTCCCTGGGTAGCTAGCGTGTGGCCCCATGCGCGGATGCATCATACAGGTCGCGATGTTTGGGATTCCCCAAGCGATAGGTTGTGCTGTTTCGTCTCTTGGCTGCTGCGTCATGGCCATCATTATGCCTGTTTAGCCCATTTCTTTCGACCCACACTCTACTATAAATACCAACCCTGCGATCTTCACTTTTCACCTTTAGAGAGAGAAAGTTGCTGGTGTTTGCCGTTAGATTTACATATCATTACACTTACGCCACCGTTTTCCCGCTTTCCAGCCTTTCCAACACCTTGGGTTAGTTTCCTCCTCCCTGTTCATTTGTCTACGCAATCTTCCACCGCACGCCAGACCGAGACCAAGTATGGTCGTGGGAGCTCCGCTCGGCACACCGACCAAGGGAGTCAACCGAGCTCACCCTCTCTCGAGGAGATAGTGGCGGTTGAGCTCCCGCAGGCCGTCAAGCCCCGCCACCAGAAGCGAACGGCCCAGGAGGACTCGATCATCCGTGCACAAAAATGTGACCTAACGAGCGACGAGTATCGCAAAGCGAAGCGTTTCATCGCATGTCCCGGTGTCGTTGTGCGCTGTCCCACTCCCGAGGAATCTGTCTACGACGCTCCTCGGTGTTTCTTCGTGATCCATCTCAAATCCCTTGAGTATGGATTTCGCTTCCCGCTTCAGCCGCTGGTCGTCAAATTCTTCCACCATTTCACTTCCTCCCTTGCCAACTGGTTCCGAAGTCGCACTGCCACATAGCCGGCTTCCTTATCTGCTGCTGCCAAATCGGGGTCCGCCCCGATCTCGACCGCTTCCTGATTATGTTCCGGCTGGCCAAGTCTTTTGGTGCAGACTCGGGCTCTGATCTTACGCCGTCCTTTTCCAAAAGCGGAAGGGGATCTTTAAGTCCAAGAAGGACTCGATCAAGAGCTGGAAAGGGAAGTTCATCTTTGTGTCGGGCTCTTACTATACGCCGCCCTTTTCCAAAAGCGTGCACCTTAAAGCTTGGAGCCCTTGGTACGTGCGCACCTAGGTTATCTTTTTGTAACCCCTACTGTAGTGTTCAATAAGGTCATCAGTGCTTCTCTGAAAAATGCTAGGGGTACACCAAATGTGTACCCCATTTGTCCCTCATCCCCTTCTTGTCCACAAAAAAAGGCAAAAAATTCAAAAAAAAAATAAATAAATAAAAATAAAATAAAAATGAGTGGTGGAGAAGTGAATGGTGTACATTTGGGGTATACCCCTAGCATTACTCTTATTTATATCGATGCGTTCATGGGATACGTTTCTAACGTGGGAGGAAATCTCATATAAACCCAACCAATTCATCTACACAACGGGTCAAGTTAGAAAACAAATTTCTTATTCATCATTTAGTCATTCTTGGTGTATAATATATCGAAACATGCATTTGTCTCATGCACTCAAAAAAATACTCGTCCATTAATCAATAAATAAAATCATTAGTGGACTGCATTGGTATTTACTTTCAAGACAACCACTTAATACCTGTTTAATGCAAAAAAAAAATTAACAAACCCAGTCTTCGTTAAAACCTATCCTTATGAGTTCATCAATTTGGGGTTTATAGTTAAGAGCTTGGGCAATGACAAGTAGAAAATGGAATGCCACACGATAGCGTGGAGTATTTTAACCAATCAGAATCAGTTCAGTCAACATGGGGCAAGTGAGTAGACTGACATTTCTTACAATGGCAAGTAATTGTTTTTATCATTTTTTACACTTTATAAACATATTTTAATTATTAAAAATTATTTTATTTATCTTTTTTTACAAAAATAGATGCATGTACTCCTATTTTTTTTAAAAAAAAAGCTTCTTTTTTGTACAAAAAATAAATAAAAAAATTAAAAAAAATCTAACACGCGCATGGAATGCTTGGCAGGGTGGAACAGTCTTGCCACTCAGGGATTTTGGTGATGTGGCAAGGGAGGAGATGCCTCACTGCTGGTCATGCTCTAATATTATCTAAATCTGAGGCTGATAAATAAGGAGTATGATCTGTTTTTTTATACATGCAAGGACCTCACGCTACACATGACCATCTTTTTACATATTAGTCGAACTTGCACATTGAAAAACTTGGAGAGTTAAATTAAACTTTAACATAATACAAAACACTAGTGAATGAGATCCATTTCTGGTATGTATGTAAGGACCTCATGCTACGCATATTTATACATCATTGCCATTGTCTAAAGATTGATTTATACATATATTCCCTTTTGCATTCATATTTACTAACTAGGCTAAGCCCAAATACGAAACAAAAAGAGTGGAATGCCCAACCCCAGTCGCCCCACCCCCGACCCAACAAAGTAGTAGTAAGTAAATCACAAGATGGACCGTGCTACACACCCCCCACCTTTGCTACCAATCTTGCCTCCACCCATTTTTTCACCACATATTTATCTCTACCAATTCTATACCCGGCCACCCTCTAATTTTAATTGAGTAATTTACTTAAATAGGACTAAACCATAATGACTTTCCCAATATAGGACTATATGTTTTTATTTCCCAATGTAGGACTTTTAGTCATTATGAATTAGTCATTATTCAAGTAAATGTCCATCATTACTGGACATTATTCCTCCCACTAAGACATTAATAAGTCCTATTTAGGGAATACAAAAGTTTAAGTCATATATTGAAAAGTCATTATGTTTTAGTCTTATTTAAGGCAAATTTCACATTTTAATTTTCTTGCCTCCCAACCACATTTTATGTAGGGGGGCATGGTTCAAGAGTAGGGGGTTTTTAGTATTTTCCAAGATTATATTGTGAATGGAAAATGCTAAAAACCCCCCACTCTTGTTACCAACAATGCCCCCCCCCCCCTTACATAAACATGTGGTAGGGAGACAAGAAAATTAAAATTAGAGGGTGGGTGGAGAATGGGTAGAGATAAATATGTGGTGGAGAAGTGGGTGGAGGCAAGGTTGGTAGCAAGGGTGGAGGGTGTGTAGCACAATCCTATAATCTTAGTCTTATTTTTAATCTATCTCGTGCACATAACAAGCTATCATATTGGATAAAACTTTCACACTATTCTAGAGCCGGCCTAGAAAGGCAGCTGCCTTGAGCTCATATCATCATTAAATGTGATATGACAACAATTTTTTATATAAGTAATAATAATACTTTTACTCCATAATTGTGTTATTTTGAATCATTTGAATGTTCGATGAAAATTTATTATTCTGTAGTTTTTTGTTGTTTCTTATTGTGTTTAAAAAACATAGTTATCTACCACTGCAATGTGTATTGACTTCAATATTTTCTACTGCAATCATTTTTTATCATTTTTATAATTAATAATACTGTCATATATATTAAAATAACATTATTATATATAAAAATAACATTATTATTATTATATATAATAATGTTATTTTAATTATTTAAACCTTAAAGATAAAATTTATTAGTTTGATATTTTTTTATTATTTCTTATTGTGTTTCTAAAAGAAATCTGGAGGCGCCACCTCCTAACTCTCGTCATATGCCCACACAATCGGCCTGAGAAGTTCTGACATCTTTACTCTTGACACTGCTCATTTGATTTATCCTTGAAAAGAATCTTATCATGACTAATATTCTGAATGGAAGCAACTAGTTTGTTCAGGTTTCCTGCCTCCCCGCTCTCCAAAAATGGAAAATCAACTATAAATATACGCTCCTTATAGTTTAGTCACTAGTCAAAATAAAAATCCTTTTTTGAAAGGGGAGTATAATATTTAAAAATAATTAATCAAATATCATAAATTGAAAAAAGTCATATAAATCGCAAGATATGCATTAATAGACTAGATTAAATTATACTCCCTCCGTCCACAAATAAACTTTACGTTCACTATTCACAGGGTCAAACTTTATTCACTTTGTTGGCCTATTTTCGTTACCCATTTGATAAAATAATATAGTCATGTCACCTCTAGTTTTGTAGATCTTTTGATATAATTTTTTAATATGTGATTTTTATTTTAAAATTTCATATCATTTTTCAAGTCCCTTCGTCCCTAAATAGATTACAATCTTTTTTTCTCTCTCCTCTCGATAACTTTTGTTTGTTTACACGATTTCATTAAGTATTTGATAAAATAAAATATTCTTGTCACCTCTTGTTTTGTAGAACTTTTGACGTAGTTTTTTAATATGTAACTTTTATATCTTATTGATATACCAATTTGTAAATAAAATAATTTCAAAAAGTAGGAAATTTTACTCCGTAACCCGCAATTTGTAATCAAATTGGGGACGGAGGGAGTATAAAATGATTTAAAAATAACTTCAATCAAACATCGTAACGCGTAACGTAAAGTTTATTTATGGATGGAGGGAGTATATGTGTACCCCAAAAGTTGTACCGCACTTTGTATTCGGGAGGTATGCACTAATATTTTATATTAGTGTGATGGTTTATAATGATACAAAATACCAATACAAATTTTTCGATTAAACTAACATTTTAAGTCAGTGTGAACCATTAAAGTATAAATCTGTATTACTCGATCGGGATCACATCTGGATGTACCCTACATGGTTGAATATGTTAGACAATAATACTAATAGTACTTTTTGTAGTATTGGTTATGGTAGTGTTTGATTATTAGTCAGCTTCCTATTCCTATTTGTGGTAGATGTTGTATGTTAGTTAGTTTCCATTCTCTATTCCTAGTTGTGTTAGGAGTCTCTTCTATATATACTCTATCATGTACTTCATAATTCAATGAGCAATATTATTATTCCAATATTTTCAACATGGTATCAGAGCCACCGCTCTTGATGAACTAAAAGAGTTCTTTGCTCCCGCCGCCGCCGGTAATTCCGGCGACGGTGGCTCCACCCTATTATTCGTTGGAGAAGAATAATAGAGAAGGCTACTGGAGGTGCCTGTTTGATTGAAGATTTTTGACATTTTTTGTCTTTTTCTTGGATCGAGCAATGCCCTATTTCCTTCTTGAAGGGGTGAGTTGTAAATTTCTCTGCTTTCGCTTCTGGCGGGCGGCACCACCATTAACTGCCGCCTGCCGGATCACTGTTTTCTTCTGACCCAAATTCTTCCATTATACAAAAAAAATCACTGTTATAGTCACCGGTGTCTCTAACGTCATCCTCTTCTTCTAATCGCCGCAGCTCTGACCGGCGACCCCTACTCCACCAAACTACCGGCCTCTCTTAGCGCCAAAATCGCACCTGTCTAATGAGCAGATATTTCAACATGGTATCGGAGCCATCGCTCTTGGTGACCTAAAAGAGTTCTTTGCTCCTGCCGCCGCCGGTAATTCCGGCGACGGCGGCTCCACCCTATTCACCTCTATTTTCTTTTTCTTTTTTATCCTCAAATCAACTTCTCCATTCGAATGAAAAAAAAGGAAAAAAAACCCTTGTTGAAATCACACAAAAAAAACTATCAAAGGAGGAACTTCTGTCTTGTCATCTCCATGGTTCTTCAAAAAAACCCCAACTTCTCACAAACTCTCTCAGATCATCCTATCTTCTCAAAAAAAAGAGAAAAAAAAATTATTGTTGTTTCTCTCCAATTCACCATATCAAAATCTCAGACCCATTTTTTTTCCATCTCCAATTCTTAACTTACTTTTTCTCTCTAAAATCACTCATTCTAATCATCAACCTCCCTTCTCTTTCTCTTCTGTTGAACCAATAAAAATCCAAAGTAAATCAGCACAAAAGCAAAGCCAAGAGAGGAAGTAGTGAAAGAGGAAATAAGACCTCTACAACTCACCCCTTCAAGAAGGAAATAGGGCATTGCTCGATCCAAGAAAAAGACAAAAAATGTCAAGAATCTTCAATCAAACATGCACCTCCAGTAGCCTTCTCTATTATTCTTCTCCAACGACGTTAGCAGCTACCAGTGCACGTCAGACTTCTCTCTTCTCCAACGACGTTAGCAGCTACCAGTGCACGTCAGACTTTTCTCTTCTCCAACGACGTCAGCAGCCACTGGCGCGCGTCAGACTTCTCTCTTCTCCAACGACGTCAGCAGCCACCG